TAAAAGAATTAGATATAGGGCTGTTTGAGTTATCTATTTTTTTTGAGTGAGCTTTCATAAATTTTGTTTTTCAATGAATTTGTCCATTTCATCTAGGTTTTCAAACTTAGTGACATGAAGTTCTTCATAATATTTCTTTATTACCTTTTCAAGGTCTGTACTTATGTCCTCTCTTTATCTGCTATTGGCAATTTTTTGCTTTCTCTTATTTTTCCTGATAAGTCTGGCTAAAGGTTTAATTTTGAGAAATGGCTCTTTGTTTCATACACTTTTCTCTATTATTTTTTTCTGTTTTATATTTCACTGATTTTGCTTTTATTTTTGCAATTTCCCTTTTCCTGCTTACTTTGTGTTTGATTTATTCTTCTTTTTTATTTTCTTAACGTAGACACTCAGGTTACATTCTTTATTTTTAATAAAGGTATTTTTATCTATAAACTACATTTTCAGCACTGCTTCAGTTTTGGCATACAAATTTTGATATGTTATGTTTTATTTTCATTCAGTTAAAGATAATTTCCAGTTTCTTTTGTGATTTCTTCTTTGACTCATGCTTTATTTAACAATGCATCATTATTATATTTCCCACTATTTGGGGATTTCTTATTAATTTCTAATATAATTCCATATTGTCAGAAAACACACTTTGTATAACTTGAATCCTTTTAAATTTGAGACATGTATTGTGGCCTAGAATATGGTAGGTGTCTTAATAAATATTCTGTTTGTAACCCAATAAAATGTGTATTCTTCTGTTAATAGGTATACTATTCCTTAAATATGTTAGTTTTAGTTTATTGATAGTAGCATTTAAGTCTCCTATGTCCTTACTGATTTTCTGTCTTTTATTAATTATTGAAAAAAAAGTATTGAAATATCTGACTATAGTTGTGGATTTTTCTATTTCTCTTTTCAATTCTTTGGGTGTTTATTTCATGTATTTTGAATCTCTGTTATCAGGGGAATAAAATTAAGGATTGTTCTTCCTCTTGATTTTTGTCTGTCATTTTGAAATGAATGATCTTATTTTTATCTCTGTTAATATCCTTTGCTCTGAAATTTATTTTGTCTAATATTAATATACTACTCCAGTTTTGTTTTTTAACAGTACAAGTTTGATATATTTATTTCCATTTTTTCACTTTTAATCTCTTTGAAATTTTATTTAAAGTCATTTCCTGTAGACAGTATATAATTGACTGGCCTTTGTGCTTCAGTTTGAATAATTAATAATGTCATGCTTTCAAGTTCACTGATCTTTTCTCTTATAGAGTCTAAACTGCTGGTAATCCTATCTACTGGATTTTTCATTTCTGATATACTTTTTCCTATATATTTTATAGCCATTTTATAGATTCCATTTTTCTTCTCAAACTTTCTTATATTCTAAATCTTTGAACATGTGTATTCTAGCTGTTTTAAAATTCTTGTCTGATAATTCTATAATGTCTGCTACTTTTTCTTCAATTTCTATTGAATGCCTTTTTTCCTGGTTATTTGTCAGATTTTTCTGCTTCACATGTACAGTAATTGTTTTATTGGATGTTGGACATTTTGTTGAGGATCTTAGTTTCTTGTTTTCCTTTAAAAAGTGTGGAATTTGTTTGCCTCTTGATCTTTTCCAGGCTTACTAAGTTTTGATACAATGGGCCTCATAGCTATTTCAAGTATAACCCTTCTGGGATCTTTTCTCGATATGATGGGCTCTCAATGAGGTCTCTTCACTATGACATACCAGAAGTGGACATCTCTCAGCTCCTTGTGAATCTGGGGATTGTTAGATTAGAACTCTCCTGTAGTTCTTTGTTGCCTGGTTTTGTAGAGATTCACATTACTCCTTAAGTGTGATTTGCTTGGATTTCCACTCTGAATTATGGTCCAGAAAGTGCCTGAAGGCAGCAAGACCAAGTGACCGTAGTTGTTACCTCAGTTTTTTCCCTGTCTTTGGGGATCATAATCATATGCTGTCTGGTACCCAATATCTGGAAAAGGTTACTTCTTGTAATGAATACAGTTTTCTATTTATTTATGGTGGGGAGAGCAGGTCTAGTACCAGTTAGTCCTTCATTACAGAAATAGAAATTTTCTTCCTAATTTTTAATTCTGTTAATGCACCCAATTTCATTGCTAATAATTACACTGATATTTGAAATCTTACTTTTTGTGATATGTTAATATGTTTAATACATTTTTGGATAACTTTGCTAATACTTTTCAAAATTTATGCCCTCACATTTTTTTGAGTTACAGTCAATAACTACACAAAACTACAGCACAGTGAATTTTGACATGTATATATACACTCACTTAATTAAGTATATATACACTTCTTTTTCTTCTTCATCTATTTCATCTACTTCCTTCCCCTATGGCAACTACCAGTCTGTTCTTTGAATTTTACTAATATTTTAATTAGGATATTTGTATTTGCATGCACAAGGAAGTTGGTTTAGAGTATTTTTAATCCTATTTTTCTTTGACTTTAATATCAATTCTGGTCATTTGTAAATTTATTTATGACATTTAAAATTTTTATACATGCTCTGGAATATATAAGCATAGAACTTATACATTGTGTCATGAGTTTCCCATGAAAATATCCACATCAGATGCCTTTTTTTTAGGATGTAGAGGGAGGGGTTTGATATTTTAGACTGCCTTTCAAATATCTCACATTATTACTTATATATTTAGGTTTTCTATCTCTTCCTTTTAAATTTTTATTTTGCTAAATTTGTTTTTACTTAATCTGTGTTTTAAAATTTCATTATATATACTTATGTCCCTAATTTCCTTTTTATTTAGGAAATTTTCACTACTTCTTGCATATGATTCTTTCTCATTTCTAACATTTAAAACATTTAACTCTTTTTTCTTTCTTGCATTTGCCAAACGTTTGCCTGTTTGTCTCTTCAAATAATACATTTGATATTTTCACAAGAAGTGTTTTCAGTGAAGTTTAGGAAAATGAGAAGGCTAAAAAAAAGAAGAAACATAATGTGGAGAGAAGGGCAACACATGAAATACACGCAAGAATGGGAGGTTATGTGGGATAGTGAGATTGGAGAAAGGAGTGGGGGTAAAGCATTTTGAGAAAGGGTAGGCAAGAGATTCTGGGTTGAAATAGTAGGTTACGAGAAATGATGCAATGTTTATAAGCTTCAGAGACAAGTAGTGGAACCGGACTTTGGAGAAAATTATTTAAGCAGCTTTCAGGGTATATTGGCCTGTACAGATATTGACGACAAAGATGTCTTCTTGATGTGGTGTTGCAGGAGGTCAGATGAGAACACAGGCTGATGTAGATAAATTGTTTTGAAAATAGAAAAACAAACTCAAAATACATTACTGAGGAGCATCTGTATATACTGACTCTGAATATATGTGTGTGGTTTTAGTGGTGGGGAAAGGGAAATTTATAAAAGGAGCACACTGCAAAGTGGTAAGATTTTGAGAACTGAAAAACAGTGTAATTAATATTGATGAAAAAACTGGGTAGAGGTGCCTAATGGGGGGTGTGAGGGGCTCATATGAGAAGGCTCAAGATGCATAGTCTACATGAGATATGAAAGTGCAGAAGTTCTACAGATATTCTAGATACATGAAAAAAACACTAGGCCATGACCAGGGTCACCAAGGACCTCAAGGCTCTGAAGTCTAAGCTTCAGAAAGCACTTTTGGGGGATAGTTTCTTTTTTCCTTTGCTTCTTTTAACCCTGAAGTTAGAGTGAGTCCTCATGTATGCAGCTGACTTTTACCATGTGAGCAGGAGCAAGGTCAGGTATATTAATCTTTTTTAAGAATACAGAGGATTACAGAAGCCTTCACTGGAGATATTTGGGAATAAAAGAGATTTTTATAGTGGAAACAAGAGGCAAGAGAATACATGATGTCGTTCTTGAATTCCTTTTTGGCTTTTGATGATTAATGGGAACGCTCAGTTTTAAAAGGTGGTTGTCATGCTATGCTGGTCCTTTCTTGTATTGGCTGCACTTGCTCCTGCAAGGAAGGCCAGAGACTATCACTGAAGCAGCTGTAAACAGAAGCACTAAGGACCAGACCGAAATTGTACCATAATAATATTGTGACCTTTCTGTTTTAGATCTACTAATAGCTGTTGTTTTAAAACACAGCATTTAACAGCAGCTGTTTTCCAAATAATGTAGCATGTTTTCCCCTACCCTGATGGCTTATGCAAAGAGCTATTTTCCCAAGTTACCCATGGATGTTGGAAATAATTTCTGCATTTCCCCTGACTTGTATTCTGGTTGTCAAAAAGTCAAAACACAAACACTAGCTGAACAGACTCACTTACATCTCAACATGGTAATTGTCATATCACTCAGTAGGAGGAAAACCAAAAAAAATATACGTATATAGTCACACAAGGAGTTATTATTATGCATATGCATTTTTAATGTCTGATTCTCTGTATAACCTTAAATTACAATGCAGGTTAAATTTCCCTTGCTGATTTATAAGCATAATGCAAACTCTAGACACAGTTAATGATATTGCAATATAAAACTGTTCTGTTGCAAACTAAAGACCTTGCTTAGCACTGCAAAAGCTCTGGGTTCATTTCAATGTGATCATTGAGGCACTATGCAGAGATTATGCATTTATTGTACTTTTTTCATGAATACATGAATGAATAATAAGTTCAACAAACAAGAGTTTCCTACTGGGAATGTCAAACAAATCATTCTGCGAAGTGCTCTGAATTTCAATCAATCACTCTCCACAGCACTTGTCCTGCTGGGGTCTCCAGCTTCAGCAGAGTCAGCACTTGGAAAACCCACAAACAGTCTTGGTAGGAGACACAGGGTCCATGAGTGCAGAAGACAAGGCACCATTAGGCAGTCCTGTGCTGCTTGCCCTTGCAGGGCTTCCTTGCCCAGGTCCCTCCTGGTTGTTTCTGCATTGGTGGAGAGACATAGGGCATTGGTGAATCATCCTGTAGTCTTGCTTCAGCTACACCCCTGCTGTTACCCATACAGTGGAATCCAGAAGCTTCGGAGGATGGCTCAAGTGAGGGAACATGTCCACAAGGTGAATAGACAGGACAGAGCAACACCAGGGAACAGACTGCCCAGTCCTGACATCGTGAAGACTTGGATGAATGGTGAGATTGGGTCGCTGAGTGTGAAGACAATTATGTGAGGTTGGTTCAGAGAACATGGAGTCTTTATTTTAGGAAGTATCACTTCAGGTTCTGAAGTTGGATTTGGGTGCCTTTGTCTTGGGGAACCCTTATTTTCATCTTAGGTCATTGCTGCTGTTATGGGGCCTTTATTTGCCAGTGTACCAAGGAAGCTTGCTATCTGTCACCTACCAAGTAATGAATATTAGCTACCCCCTTAGCTACTCCCCTGACCCAGCCAATTAAATGTTACTTAACCATAAAATTGCTTATGTTTTATTTATAGCCTCTGAAATAATCTTATTCTTACTAACTCTTATAAGACCCTTCTGGCCATAGAACCCATCCCATATCTGTTGTAGATAAGATGCTGCTTGTAGGTTTTCACAGTGCGTCAAGTGCCAAGCACAGTGATTTCTTAATAAAAAAGTTGATTCCCTTCCTCTCTTTGTGTTCTTTTATATTCACCCCAAAAGCAAATACCAGCAGTTACAAATTTATCGAAGTTCTGTTGCAAAGGTGCATTTCCCACAAAGAATCTGCTATGAATAAATAACATGAGTCATAGCATTTTCTGCAGAGGAAAGTGACTGGATAAATTGTGACAAGCATTTCAACCTCCAGGGCAGGCCCTGGAGTATTTGTGTGGGATTGAGGAGTATTTCCAATAGAAATAGGCTCTACAATGGGCAGATTGTTCTGATTGGCTGTGTGATGTAAAATAAATGACATCACCATTGTGAGCCTCAGTGTTGTCATCTATAAAATGCATAAGGTGAACAGATTTGCTCCAAGGCCCCTTATGATGATATAGCGCAGTTGTACAGCCCAGACTTTGGCGCCTAATTGTTTGAGGTTCAAATTGTTGAAAATGTCACTTAACCTCTCTGCGCCCCAGAGTCCTCACCGTGGAGAGGCTGTAAGGACCAAATGAGTTGGTCTGTATAAAGTCTCTGCCCCTCCTAGAGGAAGTTCTATAAGTGAAAGCTCTTATTGTTCTGATCCTGACTTCCTTGGCTTTAATAATAATAACACAATAGTATCTATTGTTTATTAAGTCATTTAAATGCTGCTACTATAAATGGGCTAAATATTATTTACCTTATCTTGTGAAAATATCATAACAAACCTCCTGTGAGTATACCCTAAGTATTTCCATTTTACAAATGAGGAAAATGAGGCTGGATGATAAGCTGGGTACCAAGGTCCCAGCATTAGTTAGGAAGAGAACAGAACAGGACCCCCAAGTCCAGCTCTGCACACCCACTCTCCTTCCAATGCTGATTCTGGCTCTCCCCTCTCTCTTGCACTCTTTGGAGCCAGATCAGTCCCCCAAGTTTGCTGGAAGACAAAGGCAGGAGTGAGGAGGAAGTCTTTGCTGCCTCTGTTTAGCTTGAGGTCAGCCTCTGAAAAATCCTCTCTGTTGAACTGATTTCCACCAGGTTCACTGCTGACCTCGGCACTTTGTTTCACATTTCGTCAGTTTTTATATAAACAAGCTTAAAGCTACTTTCTCCTTCCATGCTAATCTGTAACGACTCTTGCTTCTGAATTAATTGCAGGTTCAGTGTGCTGGTATTACTGCTTGGCTGTCTGTCCCCCAGTTGTCTTCATGGTACTGTTAGATTTTCAATTTGCTGTTCTTCTCTATGCCTTCCACCTCACTGTCACTGTTCCTTCTCAGGAATAAAAGGCAGAAGCTGCTAATTCTGGCTCACAGTGAACCCTCAATTTCTCTGGTTCCAATTCCTCTCCTCTCTCCCTCTTTTTCATTGTGTGTATGTGAGAGAGAGAGAGAGAGGCTGCAGTATTATTTTTTTTATATCACCCACCAGAAATAAATCCAATGCTTGTGACAAAATACCCATTTCTTACCTAGGAGTTTAAGCAGGGCCAGAATGCTGATATGAGAGAGAAAGCTGGGGCCTATTTCTCTAAGTCCACTTAAACCAGTTATTTCCACCAAGTCTTTGAAGTCAGAATTTGATGTCCTGGGTGAGTTGCCTCACATTCTCTGAGGACAGAGTCCAGTGCTGCTTCAACCGGAGGAAAGCTTACTTAGGTAGTTGATTTACAAAGGCAGACACACTCAATTACTGATTATAGTGCTAAATTTAAATAAAATTCTGCATTTAATGCTTAGTCATTTGATCCTCTGATCCTCTGCAATACTTGTAATGATTGACCATAAGATTGTGAATAGGGAAGCGGTTAGCAGCTATAAAGAATTTCAGATGATCTAAACTGGGTTTACCTCTGAATCTCTCAATCAAACAGGCAAAGGATTCTAATATTCTACTCTCCTGTCTTCGCTACACAGGGAGAAATCCATTTCTGCACCAGAGCTTGGAACAGATTCTTATCTCATTTTGCAGTTCTCTCTCCCATTTTTCCTTTAGTAATTGATATTCAGTGAGATCCATATATGTTTAATATTGATATTAAGATCAAATATTTGGGGTGCTAACAGACAGGGCACTTTCTTGGGAAGTGGGGGTTTGGGGCATTTTGAATGGATTCTATCATCTATAAAGAGAGGAAAATGTCTTAACACTTTGTGACCCCACACAAATGTAAAGGTGAGACATATTGTGATTATTATCCCTTAAGTCTAGAAATTATAAAACAGGGCATTATCAAACAGAATATAGGTACAAGAAAACCTTTCTGTAGCTCTCTTTATGGCATGTGCTTTTGTTCTGTTGCACTTTGTTGAGAAGTAACTTGTCTTAAAGGTCCAAAATAATCCCCACAATTTCACTTCTTAATGTGCTTTCTAAAGTGCCTGTGCACATATACTATCAGAAGTCTTTCCTTCTATATTGATAGCCTTCAAAATGTCAGCACATTCCATTCTGATACTCAGGCTTTACTAGCTTGTCCTTAACCTGTCATCTTGTCTGAGGAAGAGATCCTCATTCCTTCCTGTCTATTGGTGTCACCACTTAAGTATCCTTGGGCTTCTTGAACCCAGCATCCTCAAAATAAAATTCATTATTTCTTTCCTTTCCTTGCTTTAAGACCCACTCTTCCTACCATGTCCTCTCGCTCACTTAACAGCCTCATCATTTCATTCGGTTGCTACTAGAAATCTCTCCTAGAAACTTTGGAGCTATATATACAACTCTCTTTGCTTCTCCTCAGTACCACCCCATCCCCCACTTCCTTGAGTTTTGGAGTCCTACCAGTTGTATCTGTGCCATTTCTACCACTTCAGGTTTTTAGCATCTCTTTACCAGAGAATTCCTAACTGGATACCCGGTATTCAGCCTCTTCTTTCTTAAATACATCCTTCCAATCAATGCCAGACAAATAGTTCTAGAATTCAGTTCTTATGTCCTTCCCATTCCCCCTTGCCTGAGACCAAACTTTTAGGCAAAGCATACAACTCCCCCGATGCCTGGGTATCTTTCCAGCATACCCACTATATACCCTATACTGCATAGAGCAAACTGCTTATTGTTCTGTAAAATTACCATGAAATTTTATGTATCTGTGCTAATTTTGCCTAAAATGCTCTTTCACTTATGCAAGGGAACTGAAGCAAAGAGACCCTGTCTGTTTTGTCCAGTGTTAAATCCCAAGAACCTTGCACAACATTGGGCACAGAATGAACACAGAAGAGGTAAGCTGACTTACCCAAGAACACACAGATCCTGGCAAGAAAGACCTTGTGTTTGGATCTGTTGACTCTCACTCAGCCTTGTATTTTCTGTTCCAAATATTTGAAGATTTGGGGATTTGAGAAAACATGTTTCCCAACTGGTGTCAAGGAGATCCATTGCCTTTTACTTGTTTAGCCCTGAGGCCTTATACAATATATATCAAATGCAAGTTAACATTTTCCATGGGCTACAGGAAAAAAATACAGGTAATACATTGGGTTTGATTCTTCTCTTTGGTTTTAACATCATAAACGTTAACTACATCAGTGCTTCTCAAAATTTAATGTCCATACAAATCACATGGGGATCTTGTTAAAAAATGGATTCTGCTTCAAGAGGTCCAGTGGCATCCAAAAGTCTGCACCTCCAACATGTTTCCAGATGATGGCCACTATGCTGATCCCTGGACACATTTCGGGTAGCAAGGAACTAGACAATTACATACAGACCACTCAGGTTAACTAGTATTCTTCTCTCTCACCAAGAAATTTGGTAAATTTAAAATATTCTTTTCTCTAGGTCCCATGATAGTCTATAGAAATAAAAAGTGTGTCTCCAGTGCCTGAATCCAAGTAGTAACACCAACATAATTGATATCATCTATCGCTACTCAGCCTCCTGTATTCGAAGTGGCTAAATCTTGACTTATAATCTCACTGCTGCCTTGTGGATTTTGATTTTTGAAGAATCCAGAGTGTGACTAACCACATGCCATGTTAAAAACAGACATAACAGTTATCACTGATCAGTGAAAACTCTGGCCTAGATGGCAGTGCTTAGATGATAATCTGATTAGTGTCTCATTACTGATGAGTAATATTAAATTTGGTCTGTGTAGCTATTATATTGTATTAGTGGATAAGGTGGGTACATACTTTAGTCATATAATGCTCTTAGGTTTATAGATTTTTTTGGAAACTGACAAAAAAGACAACATGGGTAGTATGTACATAGCTTGGTTCATATAGATATTTCTATGTACAATATTTAATCTATTAAAAATATCTTACTGAAAGCATAACAGAGGGTAATTTCCATTATAATTGGATTAATGAAAGAGTGGGGGTTTACTGAGCAAGGGAAGGAATTAGGGTGATTAATCTGGGAGCAGAGTCCTTTTATATGTCTCATCAATGATAATGCTCAGAACTTTATGAACAATGTTGGATAATGAATTGATAAATTTGATGTTTGGGGGATGATTTTAAAACTTAATAACAAGTCCTCTTAAGCCTTCTAAGAAATGCCCAATTTTTGCAATCTGCAGAAGATAAAGTAGTTCTGTGATTGACATAAAAATGGTCTGTTTGGATAATATTTTAAAAATTCACTTTCTCCCTCCCCAAATCCAAATTGGAGGCTTTCTGCCATGATTGTTCAAGTGTAGTCAGTTGAAACACACTGAATTCCTGCTGTAATCCTGGTTTTGAGGGAATAGTCTAAACTGGAGCTGTGTCTGCCTTGAAATGAAAAATGATAATTTTCAGGAGGAAACAGTTATTGCACTGTCTTAATTTACTAAGAATCTGTCTGGATGTTTGACATTTTGGTGTTAAGAAAGTTCCCAAGGTTCTGTTGGGAAAAAAAAGTGCATGTTGAGTGATTGGCTGGATTTACTTAAAGTTGGTTTTTTGTATCTGGTTCTATGTCTGGCAGTTCACTTCAGTGATTTGGTTTAACACTTTTCAAGGGTGCTGGGAAGCCCTTCCCTGTTATGCTAGGAGGAGATGGGCTACAGAAAGAGGAGGGGTGGAAAGTTATGCAGTGGTGAAGTGTGCAGTTGAGATGTACATATTCTGCTCTAATTTTTGGGCTTCTTCTCTTTGCTCTCCAGTTATTGTTGATGGCTGAGGGAAAGAAGCTTTGGCACAGGTTCACTGTGTTTCTTAACTCTCTCTGGAGGAAGAACAAAACATCCTCTTTACAGCATTCTCTGTAGAGCCCATTTCAGGATTAAACACTTTAGGCTCTATATGACTTTCATGGAGCAATGTCTGCTTTTCTATTGAGGTCAAATTCCTGTGGTCCCCAGTGAAGCCAAGGGAAGTGTGAGTCATCACCAATGAAATCACACTGGGGATGGGCCAATGTTACCACATAGTCAGAGCCCAGATTTGGGTGTGTCCGCAGACAACGTGCTGGATGACAGATGAGCTTATGAAGATTTAAAAATATGTATGTGTTTGAAGTAAATATGAACTAAGTAGGGTAGATTTAATTTGGGCCCTGGTCTGAGAACCAGAAGACCTGGAACTCTGCCATTAATGGACTTTGTAATCATGGGTGAGCGATTTAATATTTCAAGGTTTCGAGTTTTCCATTTAAAAATAAAACTACCCGATCTCTAAGGTTCTTTTTGGCAGGATGGCTCTGTGATTTTCCTTTAATTTACCACAGAGTACTGGGCCAGGAAGTTCTCTGAAAACTTGTTTTGAACATAAGATCAATCTGATAAACATCACCAATGTAAAAAATAAGTCATTAACAGGTGCATATGGTATTTGTAGTGTTACTTGTTTCTTAAATGCTAATCTTCAGTAAATTTCTTGATCATTTGGTATGCAACATCCTGTAAATGTATTACATGCTGTATTTATATTTTATATTTGGAAGTGCCATTGAGCATTGCATATGGTTGTTCTGAATTTGTCAATAATATTCCCTGTGCATTCCATATGGGAACAGTCATGTGATCCATATATACAATATCCCTTTGCTTTCATGTAAAGTGTAATTAATGTTTTGTAAAATCAATGTGCATGTACTTCATAATCTTGCATGTTCCCAAATTATACTTTAAAGATGGAAATGGTGATCAAAGCAGTTCTGTATAACAAAAGGGCCAACTTTATTTGTTTACTTATAACTATTATTAATTTTCAGGAATGTTTTGGGCTAGGAAAATCATATGTATTTAACCTACATATTATTAAATCCTGAATATGTTAAATATGACTCTTCAAATCTTATTTCAACTCCTCCATTCTCATATTTTGCTAAGTACAAATTTTTGTGATTGTGAATATAGGTCTTTACATATGTCATTGTCATTGTGAAGGCTTAAAAATCATTAAAGGTCATTTGATAATTATTCATGTCATTTTGATTTAAACTTCTGTGCCTCAGTTTAGTGGAGTGTACTAGGAAGTGCTCTGTTTTGTGTGAGAAAGCATTAATTTTTACTGTTATGAATTAGCAATGAAGTGGTTTCGTTTTCAAAGAGATATGCAGGACATACGCTTACACATTCTGTTCACAGCTAGGGATCCAAATGGAGAAAATTTCCATGAGAAAAGCAAGTTGTATCGTGCAAAGGACCCTAATAATCAAAAGGAGGCTATTAAAAACATTCCAGATCATCCACACTGATGATGTGCATTTTGAAATGTTTTCAGTGAGAAGTTTTCTTGGTTGTCCATCACTGTAGTTAGCTAATGACCGAACAAGTTTATCCAGGTTATTTTCTGTTCTTAAAAGCATTTTTATTTAAGACAAAGAGGTTCTTCACCATTGCTGTTGGTGAAAGCATGTACCGTGTGTGCCCTGCTGTTCCATTCATTTTTCTGGACTCCTCTTCAGGTTGAAAAAATTGCATATTTGTTTGGCTGTTTGAAAAAAAAAAAACCTTCCAATATTTTTTTTCTCATGTCTGAAATGGTTCCTATTAAAGCTTTCATAATACCCTTCAGTTTCTGTGTTAAATTGATGTTTAAATTGGAAAGAAAGTGGGGACTTTGGCAGTTCAGATAATTCACTTCATCTGGTGGCCAGCTATGTTAACAGTCTCATCATATGCCAGCACTTAGAAAGGAGCCCTCGGGGCACTGAAGCTACATTTTTTTTGGAGCAGAGGGAAAATACAGAGTTCTTTGTTTCATCATTTTATTCTCTAAAATGGTAAATTATTTTGACCAGAATTTTTAAAGTGTTAAAAGAACAATTTAAAGGTTATGTGGTGGCTTAGCTGTGAAAGCTGAATGCAGACTGTTGATCAGTATGCTGGACGGTATGTGTTGAGCCCCATGTCAGCAAATGATGTCTTTTATTCTCTGTGTATTGAGTGCTGTGAGGAAATGGAGATATTGTTAGCATATGAATAACATCAAAGCCCTACATTGGAAGATAAACCTCCATCTTCTGAAATCCAGTGCACAGCCTCCCCTCATGTACTGAAGTGCCTCTCTCTTTCTAACCATGTGTTCTGTCCAAGCCCAGAGCGGTTTCTTCCAGAACAGGCAAGTTGATATTCAGCTCCAAGTCGCTGGTGCATGACTGCACATTCCATCACTTAGGAGAAAACATTTTTACATCAGATTGCCTTTCTATGTGAAGGGTAAGGAGGCTATTAGTTGTGGGTTTTTTGTTGTTGTTTTTTTAAGTTTATTGGGAGGAAGGACATGGCATTTTCTTTAGAGGTCTCACAAGATGCTCACGATTTTTATTATTTTTTGTCCTAAAAATGAGAGCCTGATCTAACCAGTTGACAAGAAATAGAGTGGATAACTGCCTCTTCATCTCTGAATGCAGACACAACTCTTTTCTCTGCTGCTGAATTCTTCATTCAGTACTGACATGCTGGCCAGACACAATTTAAAAATAACACATTGGTCTCGTTCTTCTCTCTTCTGTGCATATTACTGGAGCTTGATAAGTAGTTCTCTTCAAACCCCTTCTCTTTCCACCTGTCTTGATGAACAACAAATGGTGCTGCTACTCCAAATGGAATTTTAGTTCAGCAACAGAATTACTGGGGCTTTTAAGAGCACCAGCCACATCAAATAGGTCCTGGGATGATAAACGGTATGACAGCCCATAACAGAGCAAGTAATTCCAGATGCCTTGGATGTTTAGTCTGTTAGCTCATGGGGACATGTAAGGAATAGTCAGTTTCCATTAATGCTCAATTTATTATTGGCCAAGATGCTTAGAATATGATGCTGCTAGTCATTTGCTATAACCACTTTATTTATAGAGGAAGTCTTTTCTGAAAGGTACATGGCTGGAACTTCATTTCTGAGCTCATATGTTATGGAAACCAAAAACGTCTGTCAAAACTTAATGTCATGGACTATATTTTCATTTTCATTACTTTTGGAGGACATCCCCCCCCTTTTTTTAATCCATGTTGCCAGCTGTTATATTAACATTTGGTAAAGTTTAGGTTAGCTGAAATTCCAACCTATGGTTTACAGATAAGCAAAGCATAATGTTGACATGATTGATTTCCAGTTTCTCTGTGTGGTTCCTCTTGCATGTTTAAAGATGTATCTGTGTACAAAAGCAAAGGCAGTGTGTTTGTTTTATAAAGAGCTGCGAGTACTCTTGATGGAGAGCTGTTTTACAGTCATTGTAACAGAATGCCTTTTCTTACTTTTTGTCTTTCCTCCAGGACACCAGGTTATTGTTCTCACATGCTCACTGAGTGATACACGTTGAGAAAGTCAATCTTGGTGAATCGAGCTTGTCTGACTGCTAGGTTCTGGACTGCTTCCAAATGGGATGCTGAAATTGAAAGAACTAACACAAAGGCTTCCGGGACATGTTGGGAATACCAAGTACTATCTCCAGATTTTCTAATTAGTTTTCAAGACAAATGCTTAGGAAATTACAGCAATGTACCTGATTCAGCTCAAATTTTGAACATAGTGGATTTTAATAAGAATGAGTATTCCTACTTTTAGGGGATTCCATTTTAGGCTTCAGCTTAATTTTGTTCTTATATTTTTAAGTCTCAGATTCTTTCTTTCTTTCTTTCTTTTTTTTAAGGCTACATTTTGACCAGCAAAGGTTATTGTTCTGAACTGGATTTTCCTCTCTGAAGAAGAGACAGCTTCCCATCAGGCTCTTCAAGGAAGGTGAAGAGACACGATCCTTAATTCAATAATGGCTGGGTTCATTTACATGGCAGAACATCAGAGCCTGACATTACTCTTCTAATTATTTTTTCATAATATCCCTTGGTAATAATTTACACATATTAAAGAATACTTTATGCAGAACTTGAGAGGGCGGAGGTTGCAAGGAACCAAGAGATTTCACTGATACAAAAATAGTCTTAATGATGCCAGAGTTGGATGAACTGATGTTTTCATATGTCAGCGATTTCAAGGCATCTAAATTACTCTAAAGTTATTGCCAACTATCCTGACTGTTTGGGTTAGCTATTAAATATCACATACAATCATTAATCCTTAAAATGGCATCAAATATGATTAGAATGCCCTGTAAAAATAAGAAATATCATTCTAGCTTGTTAAAAAAAAATCACTGGCCCAGTGTTGTTTTGAGACTAAATAGAGTTTGGAAAAACTTTCCACCACTGCATGTTAAGGCATCTGACCCCTTTTTCTGTGAATAATGATTGAATAAGGTTATATTTCTGTCCTGGAATCAGGACTGTGATAATTTTCCAGCAAGCCTAGTGACTAAAAATTTTGGAGCCTGATTAAGCTTTGAGAGCACCTCTGTATGTTTCATCCTATGAATATTACTAAAGATCTCAAACCCACCATTCTCATTAGCAATGCAAGAATTCTTTAAGGTCATAGAGATATTTCAAATTTCAAATTATGAACCTCAAAAAGTTAGAGAAAGAGAGGGAAAGAGACTGTATGTATGATGTGTGGTGTGTGTACCAGCAGTGATGGTAGGATATAGTTGATAAACAATTTCTAAGCCACCTACAAAGTGTATTTTTATTAAAAAATCTGCTGAGTTACTTCAAGTTCTCTTATAAAGTATTTCCTTTCTATTCCTAGGAAGCATTACTATTTAGCAAAGACTTAAGGATAATTTTATAACAAAACAAGATAGCAGCCTATGAGGTAGCATACTGTAATTCTTTAGGACCAGCTCTTCTATTTATCTTAAGATTTAAATAATTAGATGGATATATCTTTCCCTTTATTCAAATTATATATTTATTGGTCAAGTGAATTATTTTGGAGACTTAATGATCAAGAAAAGAGTACAGAAATATCTATGTACTTAAGTGAAATTTTAATGCCATGTATATGGCTCAAAAATATACTAACATAATTTAAAATATGTATATCATCAATTAAGTAGAAATCTCTTTTGTACCAGGGAAACAAAGTTTCACGTACTACAGAAATGCTTTATAATGAAAATTATTTTTCTTTATTGAATAAACTAGGAGTGTCATGAGCATGGAGAATCTCAAATAGATTTAGTGAATCAAAATCAGCAGTCATTCATTTATTTTAAAATAAACATTTATCAAGGGTGGCAGGTATAGGGCTGAAGACAAGGCATGAAATAACAAACAGCCATTGATTACGGTAAGAAATGACAAAGGCTGGAATATAAGGGCAGAGGAAATAAGAAGCAGAGGGCTTTCAGAACTTCCCAGAAGGAAGAGTAGAATGCAAACTCAAACTACACAAGTGCCAATCCTGATCAACATGGATGTCGGGAACGTTATCTGAGACGCATTCCCTAGTTGTTATTGAGGATGTCACTCCCTGTGTTAAGCACAGAGACTCCTTGGGTCTGTGCGTGGCCTTACTCATGTGATCACATTGCCTCCCTGTAAGCGGTATCCTTGAGAATCACCCAAGAGCCCACTGCTACCACCATCTTTCTGGTATGGGAGAAGTGGCATTGTATGGGCACTGATATTGTCCCGATTCCCAGTAGTACAATAGTCATAATTAAATGTTAATGCACATCTTGAAGCACAAGAAAAATTCCACCTGTAGAGCCCCCATTCCTGCCCCCCTCAGCAGCTGTGCTTCCAGAATCAGCCACTAAGGCTCAGGAAAACATGTAAGATTTGAAAGAGTATATTAATCCCCAAGAAGGTTATATGTTGAAATTTATTAATATTCTCTCCTTTTTTTGCCATTCTGTGTACATGACCTTTACTCTGGTTAACTTGAGGCTGTGATAGGAGCTATCAGAGAAAAAGAATATATCCCTCTGCTTCCAGAACTTCTTTTGAATTTTTTATTTTGATTCTAGTATTTTTAAATTTGAAGAATATTTTCTTGTTCTCCAATTGTTCCTGTCATAGCAGCTTCTGCTTTGCTGTTATTTGTTTCTCTGCTGTATTTTATTTGAAATGGATATACTATTCTTGCAAATCCCTGATGATGCCAGTGGGTATTTTTAAATCATTCCCCTTTGCACTGTGGGTTATGTTAGGTTCTCCTGAGGTCACTTGTCTGTTCATCTTGGCCCTTCTCTCTTTTGATGTTTATAGACACACAGAAGACATTAACAACCGAGCCTAGATTTGGCTTCTGAAGCTCTGCTTGGGCCCTTTTATTAACTTCTCAGCAAAGGTTAAAGAGTCTTTCGTCCAACTCAACTGTGGTCATGTTCTTACAGTTTGATGTGAAGAAGATAAACATGGGAAAGAAGGGACTCAATGATCATACTCCTGTTTGCACTGATTTTATATATTCTCATGATTTCCAAAATTAAATTTCAGTACAAATATCTCTCCTGAGATTCTTATGCACATATCCAGTTGCCCACTGCACATTTTCACTTGGGTGGAGGAACCTTGAACTTAACACACCCAGGCTTAGTTAATCATTAGCCCATCTCTCTCAGCCCCTTCTTCCTCCTTCTATATCTGTTATCTCAGTGAATGGCCTGACTGCCTGCTTGGTTACCCTGGCCAGAAACCTGTGTGATTCTCATATCTTTTCATTCCATCAGCCACCCAGTTGTGTCAATTCCTCTTCCAGCAAATCTCTTGAGTCTGTCCACTTCTTTTCTCTCCATTTCCCATGGGATGTGTGTACCTCCCTATCATGATAATTACCCATTTGATTTATTGTAACATCTTATTCCTTGGGCTTCCTGCTTCTGGTCTTTGCACACTCAGTACTTTCTTCCAGAGTGACTTGGAGAAATGAAATAAAAACTCTCATTTTATCATTCCAAACTCATCATTGCCCATTTCAGTGGCTGCCCACTGATGAGGGTGAAACCTGAGCTTCTTATTAGGTTTGTGATCTAACCCTTGGTAACCGTTCCAGCTGACCTTCCAGTATGCCCCATCTCACCTCCTATAACCTAGTCATGCTTAGCCCTCTTGTAGACTCAGAAAGCACTGTGTTGTCCTTGACCCTGATACCATTATTAAGAGCTACACAGTGGAAGAAGGGCCCACGAAGTTGAAAACAAGAAGCCAAAATTATAAAACAAAGTTGGACTGAGTTTCAAAATAGGATAGAGAGATCATGAGTGTCAAATACACCAAGAAAGCAAGAAAAATAAGGATGAAAAAGTGCCCACATTTACAAAAAGAAACACAATATGTAAGTAAGAAATTGTCTTGTTAAATTGGGACCACTGATCAGTAACTTTTTTTCAAAATTAATTTTCAGAGCCTCTGTCTTTATGTGAAATTAAACAATAAATAAATGGTTTTCGCTGACTATAGAATTTAAAAGGTGACAATTTTGTGAACTTACTGAAATCAATTTCAGGGAGCCAATGATAATGAAAGCTGATTGCTCTGGATTAAGAAGTGAGGTGAAGAAGTGGAGGTAGCTTTTGTAGACAACACTTCTAAAATATAGGACTCTGATGAGAAGGAGCAGAAAACACGGTGATCAAAGTCCTGATAGAGTGCAGTGTGTGTGTGCACGTGTGTGTGTGTTTAAGGCAGTAGACATGTGAGCATATTTATTGCTTACAAGAAGCCAAAGGCACGCTGCTACTGCAGACGGTTATTTGTTTCATGCCTGCATTCCCAGTTTTCCAAACATCCCCAGACATTTCTTAACACCAGAGGAAGGCATAGTTTAAGTTCTTGTTGGGACCTTTTTCTCCCCAAACTTAACTTCCATGCCTGCTGCCTAAATGGAACTGTGCTCTGGATGGCAGATGCAGCCCATCCCTCCCCTGCTGGCACACTGCGGCAATCAGCTTCCTGTCCCCCGGGATGGGGTGGGCGATTCTCTCCCACTTCTTCTGCAGTTGCTTTACTCCCTTGCCTTCTCCACTCTCCCCTGGATTCATCACTTCAGCTCCTTGGGCCTCAGCTTGCTTTGCCAGTGTCCCAACTTAACATAGGCTGTTGCTAAGGTTTAGGATATGGTAGAGTCCGTATCACCTGGATAGGAAACATCTTCCCATTGTAACATTGTTCATGTTACCGTTCCTGCATAGTCATGCCCCTCCACCTAAGCTGGCTCTCTGCCACGTTGTGGGGTTCCCTCCTTCTTGACACGTCAACAGTGTCCTCTTTCAGGGTCCCAATTCCTTTCTCAAAGCACTGGTGGACAACTCCAAATTCTCTATTACTTTCTGACCCAGAGTTATTTAAATCTTCCTTTTCTAAACTTCCTCCATCTGTATAGTGAGCCCATATTTCAGATGCTAACAGACTAAGGTAGTTTCCTAGCAAAAAATGTCATCTCTCGTCTCTCCTAGAGGAATACTGTAGTCTTTCTCACCAATTGATTCAAATGGTAGCTACAGTTTATAATACATTTATCCATCTATCTGTCTTAAAAATATTAGGTAAGGATACCAAAGAAGAAAATCATCCTTGCCATAGGCTCGCTATTAAAATTTACATTATTAGTCCAGATTGTCTGTGACATTATAATTAGCAATCGTAAAAGCAGATGCATATCATATCAAGATTTAATTTTAGAATTATTACATAATTACCTGAATTCCTCAAATTAGAAAAATTCCAAATGTGGCTTCTTATTATTTTCTCCTATATATTTTCCAAATGAAAAGGTAAACTAGCTTTTCTCCCTAGTAGCTCCACATTAAAGTTGAAGAAATAAGAGACTTAATATGGTCAAAGTCTGAAATTTCACATCAGGGGAAAAGCTTGTTGGAAGTTCACTGAGTTAGAAAATCCTCAGTTGTCACTAAGTATCCAACCATAATCTATAGGATTATTTTAGGAAAGTGGAATATAGAAATAGGTTGTAGAAAACAGGAATGGTAAGGTGGAAAAGGTTGTTATAACTTAAGTCATGTCACAGTGAATATTTTTATGTGGCAAACATGATATGGGCCCTCTTGCAAAGGTTTCCAATAACAGAAAATGTGGAATCAGATGGTTAGAATTCCAGCTTTTCTTCCTTTTAGTGTTCTCATGACCTTGTAAGCATCTCTTTTGCCTGACAAAGCAGATGGGAAAATAAGCTCAAGTGTATTTGATCAAATAACTGGTGTGGGTAAAATTGAAACATTTCTGAAATCTCTCACCTGGCCTTAGTGCATCTCCATATCAATAGGTAATTACAAGGGTTAGCAAGGGTGTATCTGGACCTGAGAGGTTGGGTGGGGTCCCATTTTCTGCAGCCAGGTCATGAGAGACACGGGCGAGCAGAAGTGGATGACTGCTTGTTAGCAATAAACAGCTTTCTCCCACTTTATTTCTCTCTTTGGCTGATA